ACTGAAGTTCTAATTGCACCGAGAACCGTAAAAACCCCAACACCGACATCTGGGGTCCGCAGAAAGTTTTAATGGATGTCGCCTGATGCGTTGGTGCCGATTTTTATTTTTATTTTTGGTACCGCGACAGCTGGATTACACACTGTGGATTTTAGAAGTGCCCGTGGATTTTGACGATAATTACGATAAAGGCCTATCTGAATTTGTGTCGTCGCTTGCATCTCTATCATTAGTTGTTTTAGTTTGTTACAAGTTGTAACGATACGGTTCGTCACAGAAGTTGCATGTAATTTAAACATTTTGAGTCAGTTGGTAAGTTTGATTTGATCCTTTCGTAGTGTAAAGTTAAAAATTTCTCTATTATTATGAGTTAGAAAATGTGTATTACAGCATCAAATAAAGACAAGAAAGAAAGCATAAAACCCTAAAAGTAATTAACTAAACAGAAAGCCTACAAATACATCCAATTAACTTTTGGGTTATAAGTGGAATCCTCTGTTGAGGGCTGCTTGGTTCAAATCCTAAAATTGAATCCATATGCTTTTAACATATTCTGGAATTCCTAATCTTATGTTTGGTTCGACTTTATTAGAGGAAAACAAATTCTAGAAATTATAATTTATTATTTGATTTAAACTCTAAAATATGGAAAAGTACAAATTGTATGGATATCTAATGCTAAAACTTTAAATTTTTAGCATTTGACAAGTCCTCTCCAAATTGTAGGATTTGACAAATCCCAAAAGTTCCTACTTTTTTTATTTTATGGATATGTAATGCCAAAAAAAAATTTGGAACAAATACTTTATATGGAATCTCATAAATGAAAACGAAACATTTTTGTTCCAAGAATTTCAAATCCGCCTCAAAGAATTTTGTTGAACCAAACAGCCCCTTAAAACATTTCTCCCATAGACCAGAGTTCTACATAGGATTTATATTCCACTATGTTAAATAAGAATCTAATATACAGCAGTGCATATAACTATACCCATGAAGAAAGTGATGCAAAATGCACTTGTGATATAATATTCCGAGCACAACAAAAGAAGGAAAAATAAATAAGAAAACAATTAATAAGCTCTTCTTTTTTTGAAAATTTAAGTCAAATTATTTGCTTTCACATAGGTCACACGGAACTTCATTCTACCAACAGGGCCACACAACAGATCTCATCACAACTTAGCATTTTCCAGGTTACCTGAGCATTAGTTGTTTATGCCATGCACTCATATGGCCATAGTACATATTTCTCATCTCGACTCAGAATCATGGATTTGATCTCAGCTCACATGAAATCTTCTTCGAGTTCTTGAAGAGACTTGTTCGCAGACGCAATTTGTTTGTTCGAGGTCATCTTGTCCGAGACCATGAGACCCTTGTAGCTTCTTATCTCTGCTTGCTTTTCCCTCTCCAGCCTTTCCATTTCTTCTCGCCGTTTCTGCAACAAATGCATACAGGTTTTTTGCCAAATTTAATTGAGTTCATTGAGAAAAGGATAATTAACAAAATTCAACAGAAGATCTTGGTGAAGCAAGCAAAGAGTGAAATAACTTTATACGTCTAACGATTCTCCACTGAACTACCATACACCTTTTTTGTTAGCAAAAACTACCATTGTTTCTCAGTGCCATGTTTGATGGTGGTTGAAAGTAAGTTGTCATGTGCCTTGCCCGTTTGCCTGTCACATGTTTTAGACAATGTTGCCCTTTATATCCCCTATATATCTTCTATATGAACCTTATCACCTATGTAGGTTGCTAGGTATAAACAAGGATAGCATAGACCTTTTACTTAAGATGTTAACACCATTAGGAACAATTTCTGGTAGGTTGCTAGGTATAAACAAGGATAGCATAGACCTTTTACTTAAGATGTTAACACCATTAGGAACAATTTCTGATAATTCATGGTATTTTTTGTAGTTCTGAACCATCATGGTATTTTTTTTGTAACAAAAATTGCTTATCGTAGTTATGTGCACAACCCCACAAAGTAAATGGCAGTTTAGTAAAAATTACCCTTTCTATTTATTTCTATTACAGGTAAGAATTCAATAGGATTCCAGAAGCTTACTTTATCTCTTAGTTGCTGCTTCCTTTCAGCTCTCTCGGCAGCATTAACTGCTTCACGCTCAGCTGTGAATGATAAACAAGCTACAACAAATTGTCACATGAAATAACGATAGCTATAAAAATAATGGTTCATCTGGACTATCATAGAGCTAAAAGCAGTAATAGCAAAGCTTTGCATCAAGGTTTATGTGAAACACAAGCATCAAGTCATCAGAGCAGAGGTGAGAAAAAAAATTTGTGATATTGGTCATTATACAAAGATGAATTATGTGTTGACATTGCAGATGATTCCCAAAACTTGAAAAGGTGAGTATGTTTTCTGCAATTTCTACTATCACCTATTAATGAATGCAATTAGCTGATATTTTGTCTTAAAAAGTATTTAAAAATAAGCTGGAGCTTCTGCAATACCCATAACAGACCGAAATAACAGGATAAAAGTTAGATGAGCAGCAGCACTTCTACTAAAAGCCAAGCAATAGTTGTAGTTGTTAAATTTTACATACAGTTCTATGACTGATATTTTCCACAGGCACGGACTCAGATCAAAGTCACGTACAAATCTCAAATTACTTGCCTCCTCATACGAGTAATTCCAGTAAAACGAAAAGCTCGAAATTATGACTGGGTGTAGGCACTTGGTTAACTGGTGTGTCATGTACACATGTGTGAAAAATGCTTAAATAGATTATCATGAAAACCAAAACAACAAGAGAATAAGCCCTTTCACATGTATACACAATAAAGAATTTTGATATAAGCAACATTTAAGATTTTCACCTTTCAAGTCCGGCTTCCTCTCTACTTTTGTCTTGTTCAATCTGTTAATGACCTCATTCAGCCGCTTTTCAACTTTAACAGTGCGAACCTGACAAAGAGAGGTGACAAAGAGAGGTCATATGTATATATATCACCGATCCTCAATCCATATCCAAAAACAAAATAATATTTTCAAAACTAGTCTTTGACATTACGCTTTTCTGGTAATTGGACTCACTTTGAGAAGATTAAAGTACATGGGTTCAAGATGTAAAAGACCAAATTAGCAAATTACAAGGAACAATGCAATTATATCTAGCTGAAGAAAATTTTTAAAATTTATTCTTTTGTTCATATTGTAGCTTACAGATGGGTTATCAAATGCAACCAAATATGTGAAAATGATACGGACGAAGCCTAATAACTCATATCTCAGAACTCAATTTTAATGTATCAGGTTGAGTATCTTAAGGTTTGAGCTACATAGTGTCTGTGGGTCGCAGAACACCACTGGACTGCCTGCTGTATAGTTATTTTCATTTGCATTTGCTTATATTTACTAACGAGTACCACGGACACCACCAGAAATAGGGTAGAACACCACAAAGGGAATTGTAAAATGTCAATGTAAATTGCTTATGCAATCATGACAAGAGATGGTTTAGTTAAATAATGATAATGTTCATAGTAAATGTACCACAAATTAATTGATGGAGGTTACCGAAAATTAAACACTAACATACAAAAGAAAAATAGAGGACAGCAAAGCATTATTAGCCGCAACTTCCAAAGAGAAAATTTGTGCCTTATCCCCTCTTCCCAAAATAAAAATAAAATAAAATAAAACATAATCTACTGCAAATCCAGTCACCTGGGGAAATAATTATTTTATTAATTTTATTGATTTCAGACAAGCAACGAGTGTATGACTTTGTTTTTCGTTTTCACCCTCTCGATTCATGTTCTCTGAAGATCATGACGATTTTTCTGCATCAATCGGGTAAGTCGTTTTATAAATTTATCTCGCGTTCTAAAAACATAATAATTAAATATGTTCACTGCTTTGTGCTGTTTGTGAGAGAAATCTGAAAACTCAGAAAAATAGTACCTATATTACTTGAATATTCAGACTTCTAGGGCCACAGAGTGCTAATCCTTGAAGCATGAGCAATCTAATCCAATCAATTAATGCCTTTAAGTGAGTTCAATAATCAGACTGCCTTGTTGTGATCGCCAACAAAAAAGCAATTGGATGTGTTGATTTTTTCTCATACTTGTCAACCCAAGAAGGATTAAACCTATGCCTTTTCTGTAATATACTTTATAGGGGAATTCAGGGCTTTGAGGTTGTAATGACCCTGTCCAATGATATGCACTCTATACTTCATGAAAGATTGAAATTATTGGTTGTAGTCTGTCTCTGCTTGTAAAGAATCTAGATCAAAATCATTTTCCTTCCTTGAAGACTGAGTTTGATGTTGTTTATCGAAATTAGAGCTGTTATCAGTTGCCTTCACATTTTTTACTTGAGTTTGACCCTTTTTTATCAAGTACTATTCCATCTTATATCTAAACAAAATTAATTATACGAAATAATTAGTGTCTACATATACTTAAAACGAAAAATAAGTTTTAAAAAATCTAACTACTAGTTGTTTTCTTACTTCATAATTAATTCATTTATACATTTTCACAATAAAATTAAATATAATCAATGACGGTTTATCAAATTTTATCTTATACAGAGCCTAAGATTGCATGATATCTGCATTTTATAACTCCATAACCACGGATGCATGAGGATGAAGGCCATAAGATCTATTTGCTTATTATTTTCTCTCACTCACAAGCAGAGCAAACAATCAATACAGTTTATTATTATGTTCTTAGATCATGAAAGAAATAAATATATAGCAAAACACTTTCCAAACCCGAAGCCGAAAAGATCATCGCAATCTTCAGATAATTGGAATCGAGAGCGTGAAAACGAAAATGAAATCGTAAAGATTGTCATTTCTCTGAAATCGACGAGAGTAACAAAATAATAATTTCTTCTGGGTGATGTCTACGTGGTAGATTATCATTTTATTTTTTATTGGAAGTAGGGGAGAAGGCGCAACTTCTCTTCGGAAGAAGCGGGTAATAAGGCTATGGTTTCCTCCATGTTACTTTTTATGCAATGCATTGTTTTCATTATCTTCCACCAACTATTTTATAATAACATACTTTATTATCATTATATCACTATTAAATTAAACCACATCTTGTCATGACTGTATTTAGAATCTAAATTAACAATTTTGCAATTGGGTTTTTATGATATAAAACACCTAAATCTTCTTTATTTTTATATTACACCTCCAATCTTGGTATTAAAGACACCTAATTCCTTTGAGTTTCAAGAACCCGCATGAAAGGTTTCCATCCAAATTCATTACCCAAGCATAGTTAACTCTTAACCATATGGAGTAAATTACAAAAATAACCCTAGGCTTAGTAATCCAATCCATGTATCCCTCTGCGTTAGATTCTCAAGTCCTATGTCTCTCTTTCTCTGTTTGTCAGTCTACTTTTCTCTCAAAATCTCAAACTATAATAAGCTGTAAAACCTCAGAGTTTGAGAGGGAGAGGGAGAGAAACTAAAGAAGGTTTGTGTGAGAGAGAGGAGAGAGGCTGAGAAAGAAATAGATTGAAGGATAAAGATGGGAGAGAGGCGATAGCTACAATGAGTTTGAGAGAGAAAGATTGGAAGAAGTCAGCTCATTTCAATGGACTAATTCTGGTGCCGGTATAAGCAGGGGCATAACGGTCCATAAAAATAGAATCCCTAACAGTAACAGTGATAATATAAAAAACTAAGGTTAATCCAACCAGGTTTTTTCGAAACAACTTAAAGAATTTAGGGCCTTATTTGGAAATACAAAGATTTAGGGGTCTAATGAAAAATAAAGAAGATATTGGGATCTTATATCATAAAAGTAGTGTAAAATTTCATCCTCTTTAGCGGGTGCCCTGCTCTAAGTCTAGTTTTGGTTACTAGCAAAAGCAAATAAAAATATTTATAAAGTAGGCAATTCCATGGCATCATGTGATACCACTAGACACTATATACATTTGTCACCAATTTTTAAATGTCGGATGTCGGGTTGATGTCGGACGGTTAAAAATCATGTCCGATAGCGAAAATCGAGGATTTGTCGGGGAAACATGAAATATATATCGGATTGTGCATATGTGTAATATGAATATCATAAATGAAATCTAAACATAATAAATTCTTTTGTTTAAAAACATATAAAAAAGTAAATAATTTATGATGCTTAGGGTTAATGTTGAAAGAAAATGGTGAGAAAAGAAGAGTCTGATATTGGTAGTTGAGGAGAGAGAAGATCACCCAATATTGATGTGAAAGAAACAGCTTGGAGTAGAGACTGATGAGATGTCGAAGGAGAGAGAGAAGAGGAGCAATGGACGTAACTTCGGTCTTTTTTAATTCCCCTAACTAATCGGGTTTTGTCTTTGAAAGCAATATTAAGACAATAAGGAATTTAAACTCAAACCTAATTAGATAAGCATAACCAAAAAATAAAATAAATTAGCCAATTTTTCAAACTAAAAAATCGACCAACGTAGTCGACATGTCCACTGATATATCCGCCCGACATATCCGACATGCCCCCCGATATATCCAACATGAACCCTACAATACGCATTGAAAAGCTCCATATCGTGTTGGTTGGCCCCTAAATCCGACATGGTCGACATTTAAAACACTATTTGCCATCGAATAGGTCATTCTCAAACACTTTTCACCTTTATCATAAGAGCTGAAGCGTTCTCTCTCTTCCATCATTCTCTTACAAACCCTTCCACTAAAACCTTGCTATCATCTTCTCCAAGAATTTTCTGCTAGCTATCATCAGCATTTTCTAGCTTAGTCGCTAATAATTCTATCTATTGACATGTTCATGTGAGTAGAATTCTAGCTCAATAAAGGAAATTTTTAAACATCCCATGGATCTAATCCTGATCAAAACAACTATAGATCACTTTCTTTTGGAATTTCTACATAAATAAAATTTCACTAGCATGAAAAGTAGTTTAGAGAGCTCATAAATCAATATATCAATCTATTGTGCATGTGTGTGTGTAGATATACAGAGAGAGAGAGAGAGAGAGAGTTTTATTAATGGTCTACAAAACAAAAACTTCATCATAGATTTAAAATAAAAACACTATGTATGCAGAACCTGTCGTTGCATGTACTACCTTGCTATAAAACCTCAAACAAGAAACACTTAACATCTGTTTTATCTGCTCTAACTTGTTACATTGTGAGAGATATAGTATGCAACTATCTAAATATGATTTAAAGTCGAGAAATATGTTACCATTACGTAACTTTGTCAGTGGTGTAGCTTTCTCATAGTATAGATAGCTACATGCAGTTTAAGCCATCGAGAGGTTGAGCGTTATGTTATATATGTTATCATTATTTTAACATTGATATGAAGTTGTCTGATATGTATTTGTACTTCCATTATTGCTTATAAAAATATGAAGGCTAGACCTTTCCTGCATCCCTCAAAGTATTGTACCAGATTACCATGGGTTTCAATGATACACATTCTAAAGCATGAATCTCAAGTTAGATGTTGATCCAAATGATGTACAAATTCCCAAGAACTTAATAGTAACCTTAGCTGAAATCTGGACTATAGTGCTCACCATCTTAGAATTGTGAAAACCAACTTGCCCAACATCCATCGAAGCCGTTTTCTTCAAATTATACCATGGCGTGTAAACAACCTCGATATTGTTCACCTTATTCCCTGCAAAAAATGCAGAGATTTGATGAACAGAACAACAAGCACATCAGGGCTCAAAAGAAAAAGAATCTAATGCAACAAACATTGCCTTGGATCGAATTGGCTTTAACCAGCTGAGCACAATCCTCCAACACTCCTTCACTGATATCATCAATCGTCTGCCCTTTGTTCAATCTCAAATAAACATGGGCTGATGACATCTTGTCCACATGAAACCTGCAATTACAATATTTATACTGATTCTCGTCCTTTTCTTCTGAATGATTATCATCCTAATCAATAAAACTAAAGAAACCCCCAAAAAATTGCAAATTTTTAAACAAAGGAACCAAATCTATGGGAAATTTTACCAGATATCCTCGGGGAATCCGTATTTGATGAGCTCCTCGTTCTCGAACTTGTCGAGCCCCATGAAAATTGTGTAATCTCCGGCCTCAGGCCGCGCCTTGAAATAAAAGACCATTTTTTTCGATTCCTAGAGGAAAATTAGGGTTTCGATACAAAACGGACACAAAAAAATTAGGGTTTATAAAGCGAACCGAAGCCGCCTCTCGAATTGGGGGAAGAGGGTAGGAAACGGGGGGGGAGAGGAAGAGAACAAGACTAGCGTTAGAATTTTGGATCCTTGATCGAAAAGGTAATTAACCAAAAATAAAAGTTTTAATGTTTATAAAAATAAAGAGAGACCTTAGCTTTTTGTGATGCGGATCTGAGTCAGATTTTGATCAGGTTAGGTTAGGTTGCAGTCTTGCAGATAAGCCCCTGTCTATTTTTGCAGATAACGCCAACCATATAAAGTATTACCCATTTAGGCCCCACTTCAATGGTGTGTGAGTATATATGCAAAATTAATTAATATTCCTAATGAGAAAATTGCTTCCGCTCTCTTGGTTTTCAAAAAAGCTCACTCCCCACTCCAAGAATGTGCTAGAGAGGGAAAACGTGATCTGAACATTCCCTTTTAGAAGAGAAATTATGATCACCATATTCACCCTTCTAGAAAAGTTAAAACTCATTTTACACTCTCTTGGTTTAACCCCTCCTTAGCCATTCCAACGGATTAATTGGTCAATTGGCTAACAAATCATTTATAAGCGCGTTAAAGTTAGTTAATCCCTCATTTAGAGAAGTTAACAAATCTGTCTAAAGAGGAGGGTTAAGAGTTACTCCTTCTAGAAATAAGAAATTAAACTTTAAAATAAAATATAATTTAGAATAATTATGGCAACTAATGTTCTTAATCCTTTTTTATTTGTCAAACACAAAAAGCTTAATCATTCATCTTGACTATCAAATCCAAATAAAATTAAATAATTTTAAATTTTTTAATCTCTCGTGAAGGCAAACTAAGTTGGTCATTCTCTTTAACACTTCTCACTTCACCCCTTGCGCAATGATGCCTTTAGATTTAAGGCTTTATGACTTTATCAAACCAAAGAACACATAAGATCCCTATGCAACTAATTTTTTTTTTTTTTTCATAACCGTCTATTTATTGCTGTCATCGTATTTTATGTATGAAACACCTATGATTGCTTTATATGAATAGCACATAGGATATGTTTGCCAAGATCAGTCATGGCGCTTTCTTTAGAATCTTTTTTTTTTTTTTTTTTGCTTTTTGAATAAAAATTTATTCAATCCGTTTTCTTTTCTTCATATTTTTCTCCAAAAAGTAGAGAATAATTAGGACTATAACGAATTATGTTGAAAGGTCTCGTTCATTGTAATGGCGGTTTTATATTGCCTTGCCGACCATACTGATAAATCACCTCCCATATTCTAAGTCCTTTTTGCCAATCCCTATTTTTCTTTAAATTTGTTATTACTCTTTTTTACTTTAATCTTAGTCATTTTTTCCCATTAATTTTGATTATTTCAAGATATATGGGCAAACGATTAAATGATTATTAATGACAAGTAGATGTCTGAAGATTATCAATTTTTAGAATCTAATCTTCTCTACGAGGTTTCTTTTTTATTTATTTTACTTTTATTGTTATTTTAGTCTATTTTATGATTTATGATCGTGTGATGATCAAAAAGCATAGTTCAAATGATAAACGCTCACCTGATATTTTTGATTAAATCTTTATTTAAATATTCCTCTCCTATCTGATGACCTCTCATATTTGTTATCATTAATAACTATTTATTCAAAGGTTAGATGGTATAGTTGATTTTCAATAAATGACTATATTTTTATGTAATTTGAAATTTTAATTTTAATTTACTTTGATATTTGTTAACAT